AGTAGAGCAGAACTGGACTGGAATCCCACTTCCACCCTCTTGGCATTTTCACAAATGCAAAATATGGCTAAGAAAAATATCTATCCCATAGGATTCTTGTGAATGTGCGTAGGACACTGACACTTCATGTGTCAGTGCTGAATTTTTATTCCAGAGACTTAACAAAGTCATCTATCTCTGTTTCAGGCAGTGACAGCATCTGAACCACCCCCATTGATAACTTTCTTATTTCTCCTGTGAAGTCTTCAAAGGAGTTTCTGCACTCAGAGACAGGAATGGTATACTGGTTAAGAGGACGGGCTCTAGGATTTCTTAACCAGAGAGTCCATATACCAGCTGTGTGACTCCCTTGCCCCATTTTAGATTCTTCATCTGTGAAATGAGGATGATAAGAAAAAATATTACCCATCTCAGAGGGTTATTGTATTAAACTAGTTAATACATGAAAAATGCACAGAACAGTGCCTGGAATATAGTAAATGTACAGAAAATGTTAGTCATTACAATTCTCCCCATAGATGATATATCCCAAATTTTTAGGACACAGAGAACAACAAAATTATAGTTGACTCCTGAACAACATGGATTTGAACTGCATGCATCTACTTATACATGGATTTTTTTACAGTACTATAAATATATTTCTCTTCCTTGTGATTTTCTTAACATTTCTTTTCTCTAGCTTACTTTATTATATAAAAACAGTATATAATATATAGAACATAATAATATGTGTTCATCAAATATTTATGTTATTGGTAAGGCTACTGATCATCAGTAAAGTTTTGGAGGCGTCAAAAAGTTATATGCTGATTTTTCGACTGTGGGATGTGCAGGTGTCAGCATCCCTAACCCCTGTGCTGCTCAAGAGTCAACTGTATTTGTTAATACCATACTGTTAATACCAACTGTATTTGTTAAAACCACTCCAATACCATACTGTTAGAGCTGAAATGACTCTTAGGAATCATTTCTAGTTCAACACTCTCATTCAATTAATAGTGCCCTGGTAAGACCAGAGCTACATGGTCTGACCAGCATTAAAACCCAGGTTTCCTGGGGCACCTGGGTGGCTCAGTCGGTTAAGCGTCTGACTTCAGGTCATGACTCGGGGTTTGTGAGTTCAAGCCCCGTGTGGGGCTCTGTGCTGACAACTCGGAGCCTGGAGCCTGCTTCAGATTCTGTCTCTCTCTCTGCCCCTCTGCCACTCATGTTGTCTCTCTTTCTCTCTCTCAAAAACAAACATTAAAAAAATTTTTTTAAACAACAAAACAAAACAAAAACACCAGGTCTCCTGATTCCTATCCAGTGCTCACACTTCTATATTTCCTATTTTTAATGAAAATAGTAGGGTCGTTCAGTCTTTTCTCTCTGCAAACCAACAGGCCATCTTCTGGAAAGAGCCAGAGCTCTGAAAACATTTGGGAAGAAATCATACTCATCAAAATTTTCAGGAAATACTGCTTCAGGTAGCACATTTTGGGGGAGGTAGCGTAGGTAGGCTATAATTTATTTCCCAAGAATCCATACCCAAGAGATACAAAAAACAAAAATTTGAAACATTATTAATTCCTTTCAGGAACAATTAAATATTCTTCCTTGGGAGGGCATAATAATAAATATTAACTAAATCCTTTCTAAGTTTATAACACAATATTACATGCCTTTTTTTTTCTAATCCTCAGAGCACAGACCCCCTTCCTCAAGTTGCCTTCTTACATACTGCTACAGTTACTGGTATTTTCCTTGCTCACCATACATATCACAGCTTATGCAATTGCTTGCTTACTTGCTTTGACAGTCCTCAGACTATAAGCAGAAAAAAGACAGGGATCTCAATGATCAGATACACCATTCATTTCTTCTTTCAACAGATATTCCTGAGCATGAATGAGACAGAAATGGTCCTGGCTTACTGGAGCAGACTATACTTGTAGCAATATCTCATTCCACATGCTTTTCTTACAAAGTGTCCTCAACATTCTTTCCATGGAGGTCCTTCCCCTTGAACACGCCCTTACAGACTACAATGGAAGTGATGCTATGTGACTTATAAGGCTAGATGATAAAAATGCAATGCATTTCCACCTTGGTCTCTTGGGACGGACCCTCTTAAGAGTCTGGCTGTCATACTGAGGAACCCCACACCTGGCCCATGAAGAAAGACCACATGGAAAAGTAACCAGACATGGAACCAAGGGACACACCTTCCCCACGGTGCCTTGTTTGAAATCCTGACTCACAGAATTATGAGCATAATAAAATGAGTTCCTTACACTATTAAATTTTGGGGTGGTTTATTATGCAGTAATGGCAACTGGAACAACCATTAATAAATATATGGCATAATATCTACCAAGGAGTAAAGATACTGAACACATGACTCTAAGGTATTGCCTACACCTAACGGTAACTGGAACAGAGTAAATTATTTGTTGAGTGTCCAAGGTAGTTATTATTATGCCCATTTTGTAGATGAGGAACTGAGCTTTGAAAGGTGAAGCAACTTGCCCTAAGCCTCTCAGCTGGCCAATAGCAGAATAAATTAAAACTCAGATCTGCACCCACACTCATAACACCATACTCTGTCTCCCTTGGTACTTACATTTTTGTGCTAAATATACAGTAATGTTTCAAAATGAGATTGTCAGTACTGAAAATATTCTGGCCCACTAGAATTCACCATGAAGTTTCATCACTGAGATGGAAATCCACATATCACCTTCTCACAGAAGTCTTCTTTGACCTTCCTAGCTCAAGTAATGCCAGCTCCCTCACCCTCCCCAGCCATTCTTTCTACTCCATCACGATTTCATTTTCTTCACAATATTTATCCCTAGCTGAAATTCTCTTGCTTCTTACATTTGTTCTTGTTCACGTGTCTACTCTCTGTATCTCTGACTTGAATATGAACTCTGTGAGCAGGACCCTTATCTGTCCTGTCTATTCCAAGATCCCCAGTGCCTAGTACAGTGCCTGGAATATGGTAGGTGATCAAAAATTAATTATTTACTGAAGGAGTGACCACCCAACCTCATCACCTGCCAATAAATATGCAAATTGGAAGGATAAAGCAAAGTTTAAAACATCAGGACTGCATCAGAATCACTCCATCCAGTAAGGTTGGTACAAAAAAAGGAGAGGAGAATCCATGCTACCACTCTTCTACTTAGAAAAAGCATAAACCCTGAATTCCAAAGGAGATGTAGGTAAGGGGGTGGGGTGGGGGTGGAGGTCACACCGATCTCCCATTAATAACCACTGTCCCCTCAACTCCTCAAAAAAAATCAGTTTCTTCAGACACATTGACTGAAGCACACCAAGGACAACTGTTGGTGACCCTCTAACACCAGACCTTCTATCCTTCACCTGGCCTTTCCTTATATACCAGTCCTGGGATGCAGGTGCTGTTCTCCCCAAGGTCCGGAAGAAGCAGTAACCTAACTCTTCAGGGAGAAGGTGAGTAGGGGGATCTTCATAGCCAGGGAAAGGGTCTCTGCATGTGCAGGTCTCCAAAGACCATATTTCTCCCAAAAGGAAAAATGATTGTTCCTGAGGACCTACCAAGTGCTAGGCACCTATGCTGGCTCTTAAACCTGCTTTAGGGTCGTTCCTTACCTCCAACCCAAGAATTTAGGGAGGCCTCAAGCACAACTTCCTCATCTCACCATTTCCCAGACCCGCTACTCCTCATCCCCCTAGAAATCCTCAAAATCCAGGAGCGGTTAGAGAGGATAAAAAGAAACCTGGCGTAGCCTAAGAGACAGAACGGGAGGGGGATCGTGTTAGCATAAGAAGAGGATTATACTGGGCTGGGGCCCAGTATGAGTAAAGATTAATATAAGAAGGCAGTCTGACCCTTTCCAAGCCCAATATGTCCATCAGAAGAGGTGATGAGAAGCAGGAAACTGAAGCTCAGCAAACAAGTGGCCCCGAGATGAGACCGAAGCTCCATGGTGGTAGGTGCACGGAGCCACCGGGCTGAGCAGACGGAGGAGGACCAGAGTCCTAGCAGAAGGTCCGTGCCGTTCCCCAAGTGCCGCTCAGCCCAACCCCTCGCGTTCCCAGATATTTTTTTTCCTAACCGTGAAGGAAGTGATGTTAGACGGATGTGGGTGGTGCCTCCGGGGTCTGGTTTGAGATGGAGTAAGTTTAAAGGTGCAGATCACGTAGAAGGGTGCGGGAATTGCTCTCCTGCGCTACCTGCTTCCCCTCGATTCTGGATATTCAGTCCGAAGACTGAGAAGGAGAAGGTGGGCCGAGATAGTGGGGGTGGGGAGAGGGCTCAAGAGAACCGTTGCTGGTTGCCTCAGCCTGCAAGCTAGCCCCTCCCCCCAAGAACCGCTGCACTTAATATTCACAACGCGAATTATTGATCGGTGAAGTCAGCTGCTCCCTACAGTGGGCGCGTTGCCCATTGGCCTCCCCTTTCCTCCTCCGCAAAAAAAACCAAACCAAACCAAACCAAAACAAAAAATCCCAAAAACCTAGACTACGCGATTTCATTCTTAGGTTCCTGCTCTGGTCACGAGGAGACCTGGCAAACCTGTTCTGCAGTGTATTGTCTCGTGCCTTGCAAGAATGCCCCTTCCTGCTGGAGAAGCAGCGCTGGACCTTATTTTTCCTTGCAGCCGCAATTCGTCCACTCTGGGATGATGCAACCAACCGATGCAAGCTCCCAGAAAACCAAATTTCGAATCCCTTATTGCAAAACTAACCCAGATCTTCAGGGAACGAGGACAAAAGTCACTGCAGACATTTAAAGCGTAAAACTTCTTCTGGTTAAATCTACTTGACTTGTTTTTAAACTTTGTGGGTTGAGTATTTCTCCTCAAGTTTTCCTCTCTGATTTACATAACAAACGGTAAAATTTCCCGTCTCTCCTCCCAGTAGAAGCTAGTTGAGTCAATACACTAGTGAGTCCGCACTAGTTGACTCCGACAGTGCGTACTTAATGAGTAGTGAAAGACATGAGACAAAAATACATCCTCAAACAAAAATACACACCTCTTTTTTATTAGTACCCTTACAAAATTGTAGGCACAATGGAATCCTCGGGAGACTGCAGGCTCCAGAATGCAGTGCGGCCACCTGCACCTGCCGCATTTCTATTGGTAGGCGCAGAGCAGGCTGGGTTTTGTAGTTCGTATATGCGCTCTCCACGATAGGCTGCTCTGGTGAGAGAGAAAGAAGGCGGAGCCGGTTGTGTCACGTGGGCCCCGCTCCCGCCGCCGCTGCTGCCGTCGTCTTTCTCTGTCTCGACTGAGGCAGCCATCTTGCTCTTGCCGCGTGCTGTTGTTGGAGGACCCTCCCTGCTTCAGGTGAGACCCCCGGCGGTCCCGCCACTCCACGGCCATAGGCCGCTGCGCACGGTCTCCCCCCGCCCTCTTTTTCCGACACCCGCCAACCATTCGGGCTGCCACTTCCGCCGTGGCGGGCCGAGTGGGGGCGGAGGCGGCTGGTTTGGCTTGTCGGTTACCGGCGGCGCAGCTGGGGGTCGGCACCTGAGGGAAGGTCCCCAGCACCATCGCCCCCTATGGGGGCGAGCGGGGACCCGCGGTGTTGCCTCCCAGATCCAGTCCCAGGAGGCGGGTTACCCCCGCCTCTCTCCTGTTACTCTATTCACAACAACAATGCTGTGACAACAGCCTATCTGTTGTCATCTCGTTTGATCGTCCCACTCTACAGATAGGGAAACTGAGGTTAGCAGCCCCCGGCCCCCAAGCGCTTGGGACTGAATTCCGTTGCAGCTCTGTTCACCTCGCAATGGCAGTATTTACAATTCTGATTCCCTCTCTGAGACATTGCCTTGTCCATCTCGATAGCCCCATCAAACTGCCTGATGCATAGTAGGCTCTCAGGAAACAGATGATTGACCGACGGGCACCCTGTTACACAGCTAGTGAATGGCGGTTTCAACTTCCGTTCCCACGTTCTTTCACTTATACCATAGATGTTCCCTCGGGAGTGGTAACAATAGTTACCAGTTTTTGAATATATACTGTGAGCCATACCCTGTGCTTGTTAACTTAACCTTTAACCTTTAAAACAGCCCTATGAATTGTGTAGTGTTAAACCTTTTCTAATACAGAAGGAACACAAGTTCAGAAAGTAAAATACCTTTCTGAAGTCTTAAGGGGTAGAACCTTGATCCTTTTGATTACAAAACTTGTGCCTCTGTTAGAGGAACCCCACATAATAAAAAGTCAGGACAAAGGATTGAAATTACTTTATCTGTGTAAACAAAAAGAAAGTGCCTAGCATAATGCTTGGAACTTAGGCACTCAATAAATATTGATCAGAACCTCATTATTTACACTTTTCTTGAGTCCTTGAGTAAAGGGCTAACCGATCCTAGGATCCCCAAGGAAGAACGCAGTAATTTATGTTCTTAGGAAGTTCTTCCTTTTGGGTCTAGGAAGTGACTTGTCCCTTCTGGACCTTCATTTCCAAATCTGTTAAATTAGGAGGGAGGTGAACTGTTTTATTTGTTCATAATTTTTTAATACCCTGCTGCTGCTTGCAGGTATTTGAGATGGCCTCACATACAAGACAGGAATAATGGGTACAATGAAGTAAAGGTTGGTCGAAGAGTAGGGAATTAAGCCAGGTGATCTTTGAGGTCTAGTCCAGATTCTGAGCTTGACACCTCATCTCTCATAGACTGAGTCCAGTCCTCTTTTCTCCTTCAATTCCACATACCCCAACCTGCTAATAGACAAAGGACCATCTTTCTTTCTCCCCTTCCCCCTTGAGAACCTCCCTAAAATGCTTTTTCTCTGAGATAATTCTTGGGAACAAGTTTTCTGTTACACTGATTACCTAGAATGGAAATCTGTTCTTTCATCAACACATTGATATAAAGAGTTAATTTTGTTTTTGCTTTTGTTTCAAACAAGTCAAGACTCTATCTTGACTTCATTCTCTTGTTTTCCATCTCTTCTCTTGGGGATTGTTACTTCAAAATGCAGAAGAGCCCCTAAGGTTTACATTGTATCTAGTTCTAATATTTTTCACTTCGTCCCTTTTTTGTAAAAAAAAAATTCCTTAGGCTCTATACTAAGTTCACTATACTTTCATGGCCACATTCCTTTGAGAAAAGTGAATATTGGTCCTCTTCTATGGATATTGAGTATAGACATTGGGATTTGCATCAGCAAATTTAATTAAGTCTGGCAGAGTTGAGATTGACCTACACCTAAGCCTTCTGGCTTTGTACTCCTCCTGTAAAAGCGTGTTTTTAGCTGCTTGAGCATTGTGATACAGTGCTGAGTAAAGATTGAGGAACTATAAATTCTGAATGTTATTTGGGAACTGGACTTTATTTGGCCTTGAAGCATGTGTATGCGTATATATATACATATATATATATGTATATATATATGTATATATATACGCATACACACACACACACACACACACACACACACACAGGTTAGTGCTCCAGTAGTGTCAGAAAACAGAGCAATTAGTACTTATATAATCTTTATTCTCTTTCATCTCTCAAATGAAGACATTATCTTTTTCATGTGAATGATAATTATAAAGAGGTTAGAGAATTGGCCAAAAAAGGTTTGAGAACAGCCTTTATTCCCTCTCTCACATCTTGGTAATGATCTGTTGTTCCACAGAACAAGTAAAACAAGACTTTTAACCTTGGCTTTTATTTGTTTATATAGTGTGGAATGTTACAACCCATTATAAACTTAACTTTTTTTCTCTAGTCAGGAATATCACTGACCAGATTAGGTTTTATGGCTTTATAATTTTCTTAAGAGTTTTCAAAATCAAAATTGGCCTTAAAAAGGCTATTTCTAAGACTCTCCTCCCCACTAAGCACTCACAAAAATTTAGTATTAATGTAGCAGAGATGTTTTTGTCAAATTGTGCAGTGAGGAATTTTACCCAGTGTGCAAGAATATCTTGACAAGTCTGACATACTATATCAGTGCAAGGTACTGAATGAACTCTGTGGAAAGGGCTGCTGAAGTGCTGAATGTCTGAAAATCTGGCTCTCTTCCTGTTATTAACATACCATCTGACCTTGAATAGAAGATGTGACTCCCTCATATCTTGACAGCTAGAGAGCCTACTGTTGAATTTCTTCTTTGTCCTGCTTTTTCTTCTTATTCTTCTTCTTTTTTTTTTTTCTATTTATTTATGGGCACAAGGTTATTTATGGCTCATTTATTATTTGAGAGAAAAAAATCTACTTAAAGGTTGTGCTGGTAACATTTGGTAACTGCTCTCTGTTGTAAAAACCTTTGGGGGAAAAACTGGCTTGTCTATAGAGATTTTCTAATTGGTTAGGTTTTACTGAATGCCCAAGAACTGAATTATGCATTTAAGGAGGGATCCTCAAATAGGTAACTTTGAATCCTATTCTATTTTATGTTTGTGTATTTGACTCCCTGGTGGTTTTATTTAATTTTCATTCTCTTAATATCTGGTTTATGAAGCGAGAACAAGTTATTAATATTTATTAAGACTATATAGACAGTATTAATATGATCACAGTGGTAATGCCTATTGCAAGCCTAGTGAACCAGAAGGTACTGTTGCATAAACAGTTATTTTATTTTGGTACAACAGTGATTTTAACAATGTATTTTTCCCCCCCTAGATTTACCAACAGCATGAATCAAGAAAAGTTAGCCAAACTTCAGGCTCAGGTCCGGATAGGGGGCAAGGTGAGTGTGGCATAAGAAAAATTGATAGGAAAATGTATTATCAGAAAGTAGTATTATTTTGGATTTGTGGTCATTGAAAATCTAAAATCTTTTCAATAATCAAGATCAAACCACATTCCAATTTGAAAAAACTTGTCTAGATTTAATATAGGTAACTAGAAGACTTCTCTCTCTGGTGGTGCAATGTTAATAGCCACCTTTGTTTGAATCCTCTTAACATCTGGTAGTTATGTGACATGAACAAGTTACCCAACTTTGTTAAGCTTCCATTTTCACATGTGCAAAATAGAAAAAATCCTGCATAAGATACATCTAAAGATTAGAGTAATACTTACAAAACACCTATCTGGCACAGAATAGATACTTAATAAATGATAGCTGTTATTATGTTAGGCTCATTTACAGGGCATCCCAGATGTTGAGGTTACCTTATCTTGACTGGATACACCTATTTGTACAGTTAGGCTTATAAGTGGTTTAACTGGAGATGCTCAGACTGATTATACTTTTTTCATTGCTGGGTTTTCCTCCCAAATTCCTGTCTGTTCTTTGTTGGTCAATATAAGCATGAACATTCTTATTCCATGTATTTTGAAGCCCAAAGAAAAGCTTGTTCTGAGAATCTTTGATTCCCTTCAGCTCTTGCCCCAGGCTTAAGGAGAATACTCTGCCCTTATCTCTGCCTAGTATAATATTTGTAAAAGGAAAAGAGATAGTACTTAGCTCAGACCTGGAAGGCGGTAGGTAGGACACTATGTAGCAACTCTACCTGTCATTTACTTTGATGATTACCACAACTCCTAAGAATGGAGATAAAAGGGGAAGGAAAGAAGTGACTAGTACTTTCTCCTTCTTCCATAGTGACACAGGTATAGGACTCTGGAGTCATATTAACATACTCATGTAACTAAAGTAGTCACATGGTAGCATCAAGTCTAATGCAATGTACAAATGAAAAAACTAGGGATATTCAGGAACCATAGAATATACCTGGAAGAGCTTGATGCAGCACATGACTGTTACACATTTTAAACCAGATGGTTCACACATTCATTCATTTAACTAGTTTACTGAGCACCTACTATGTGCTTGGCACATAGTAGATAACCTAGTCAGGGTTTTCTTCTCTTGACATAACTAAGCTTGGAAGAGAGATGTGCTCACAGTTACACTACTGGGTAGTAAATGTTAAAATGAAGTACAAGGTGCTTTTGCCTAGGAGGGACAAGGAAGTCATCACTGAGCCGAGATTTGGAAAACAAACAAGAATTTATCACTAGGTAGACTGGTGAGGGTAAAGGTGTGAGGTGACGAGGGGATTGTTATTCTCATACATGCTAAGGCACCTAAGATGCTGAGATAACATGGTGCTTAATGGAATGGCTTGTTTTAGTTTGGTACAGTTAGAGTTTAGACTATCCAATGGATAAAGAATGGTAGGAAACTAAACAACCAGGTAAGTCAAGGTTATATCGTAGTCTTATATGCCATATTAAGGAGGTTAGGATTTTATCCTATAGGCAAGGGGCAACTATTGAAGGATTTTAAGAAGAATAATCATTTTAGAAAGGTAGGTGCTAACAACATGGAAAATGGAAATGAAATAGAAGTCTAGCATAGAGGAGAATGATTGAAAGGCTGCTGCTGTAGTATATGGAACACAAATTTAGGAGTTGGAATTGACATGACTCAGAATACAGAGGAGGGATGACCCCCAGATTTCTGGTTTTAAAGACTAAATATATGGTGGTACTACCAGCTACAAATCTAGGAAGAACAGTTTGGTGGACTGGTAAGCTTTTAGACATATTGAATTTGAGGTACTGAGGATCATTTCATTTGAGCAAGCGATTGAGCTTTCCCTGAGTCAGGAATGTTTCACAAATAAACGAGGATCTATGAAAATAGTCCTCCTAGTCCATCCTCCAGCAACTGGATTTTGTCACATCCTCTGCTGCTACTCACAGAGCTCTCTTTCACTCCCGTCAGCATTGCTGAGACGGTACCCCCTGCCTACTGTATAAGGCTGGTTCCTTGAGTACTGCGGGAACTACCCAGAGAATTAAATCTCTCTTCCTTTCCCCTTACTCCTGCCAGGTGTCAGAAAGATTTAGCCCTCAAGACGTAGGCTTCTTTTGGTAATGTTTTATTTTTGCTGTAGGTTACATTTTTGTAAATTGGCCCAGGAATTTAATCCATTATTTTAAATAACTTTTCAATGGAAATCTATATTAAGAGTTTCGAAGTATCCATTTAGAAATGAGCTCTTTCTGTCTTTGTGAATAGTGTAATTTTCAACCTATTTGCTCAGGCCAAATTTCTAAGCATCATTCTAGATTCCTTTTTTCCTCATATCCCACATCCAGTCTATTAGTATGTTGGTTCTTCTGACAGTCTAAGATCTCACCATCTCCACTGCCAGAACCCTCATCTCTCGTCAAGACTGCTACAGTAGCTTCCTGATTGATCTCATTGTAGTCCATTTTCTACAGCAACTTCAGTCATCTGTAAAAATCATAATAAAAATCATAAATGAGATCAAATCATTCCCATGCTTAAAACCTTCCTATTGCAATTGGAATAAAATCCACCTGCTGCCCATGGCATTCTAGGCTACATGATTTGGCCCTTGCCTGTCTTTCTGATTGCATTTTCCTCCTCCTTTGTTCACTCTGCTCTAGCCATAACTGACCTGCTTTCTCTCTGTAGAAACAATAGGTTCACTCTTGTTTCATTCTGCTTGAATCACTCTTCCCCTAGATCTTCCCATGGGTCTCAGCTCATAATGTCACCTCTTCACTGAACATTCTAATAAAATAGTGCTTTGCCTTCACCCAATAAATATTCTTATCACTGTTTTTTTTTTTTTCCCTTACTACCCTTATCCCATTTGAAAGGGTCTGATTTGTTTATGTATTTATTGACTTTTCCCTCTCATGTATGCTCCTTGAAGTAAGAACTTTGTCTTTTTCATTGTCAGGGGGTGGTAGGTACTGTAAAAAAACATTCCTTGTAATGTTTGGAAGTTGTTATAAAACACTAAATTACCTTGAAGTTATAAATTATTTTTATTAGAAAACTTTTGAAACATTGAAATGATAAATGGATATTTAGAGAATAAGAACTGGCTAGAACTGACCCTCAGAAATCTGGGTTAGGTTGACAGTCACAATTCTGAAAAGTCTTCTTAGTTGTTACTATTAAGTCAGCAATTTCTTACATGGATTTTAATTAGAATAGGAAGTCATGTGACTGGTTACCAGATGCAAGCATCTTAACACTTCTGTTTGGTTATTTTTCAGGGTACAGCTCGCAGAAAGAAGAAGGTGGTACATAGAACAGCTACAGCTGATGACAAAAAACTTCAGAGTTCTCTAAAAAAACTGGCTGTGAATAATATAGCTGGTATTGAAGAGGTACGGTCATTTTGTAAATTGTTAAATTGTGTGGACATATGGCACATTCACAAATATCCACACTTTTTGAATGTAAAATATCAGCTTAGAAGAATCTGATGTTGTCACTCAGGTAGCTTTGAAGAACTAGCTTTTGAATTTGCTGATTGTATAAAAATGGCTGATTGTAAAAAAAATAATTTTAGTGGACGGTTAAGGAATTCATCATACTTTTTGGACTCAGAATTTGCACATATGACAAAATTATGGAACTGCTCTTGAATTTTCATGCAAAGTAACATTTTTTTCTAATAATATAGAAATAAAGAAACTCCAAGATTTCTTCAAATAAGGTGGACTTTTTTCCCATAAGAGCACCTTTCTACTCAACAATATCTCTTTAATTACCTCAGCCAAGAAGCTCTAGTAATAGCCTTACATGGATTGGATTTCTTATTAGACCCTTTCCAGAAATTATTGGCTACATTTTTTAAATCATTTTATTATATGTTGGTGATACTGCTTTTCTCAAATATGAAACCAAAGACTGATGTTATTTCAAAAGATACTCAAGAAAAATGATGATAACATCAACTATTTGTGATCTGTTACCATCTAGAGTCACTTCTGCCTGATGATTCATTTCCCATAGTAATCAATGTTTAAATTTTCACTGCCATAAATTACGTTGAATGTTTAAATTATACTTAATGATATCATTACTTTGTATGGTACCACCCCACAATTTTTAACAGATTGTTAATGCACACGTGCTGTAAAACAGATCAGAAATAATGTGGAGTCAAGGATCACTAAGAAATAGCAGAGTACCAAAGAAAAGGCAGTGAAATGGCCACATGTTCCTTCTAATATGCATGTATGAATAAATATTACTACACTATTTAATTCTGCATTGTACTTTCAAAATTAGTATACTGAAGTAGTAGAAAATGTAAGCCACATGTATCTTTTTTTCCTTTTAGCTTGATGTGCCTGTGCATTCTTACTCTGATAAAGATAAGAACTTCATTTGCAAGTCTTGAAATTAAGCATTTTATATGCATTTTTCCTTCTGAGTTATTGAAAACTTTTATATATCTTTATTGACCTAAAATAATTTTCAGAGAGATCATTCTCTTTATCTGGGGTATATATGAGAGAAAAAAAAAAATCTCAGCCTCTTTTAAAAAATCTAAAGCTTGGTAAAAAAGAACAATTTGTGGGGTGCCTGGGTGGCTCAGTTGGTTAAGCGTCCAACTCTTGATTTCGGCTCAGGTCATGATCTTACAGTTGTGAGATCAAGGCCCACGTCAGGCTCCGCACTGAGCATGGAATCTGCTTAAGATTCTCTCCTAGGGGCACCTGGGTGGCTCAGTTGGTGGAGCATCTGACTTCAGCTCAGGTCATGATCTCATGGTTTGTGGGTTCGAGCCCCATGTTAGGCTCTGTGCTGACAGCTTGGAGCCTGGAGCCTGCTTTGGATTCTGTGTCTCCCTCTCTCTCTGCCCCTCCCCCACTCATGCTTTGTCTCTCTCTCTGTCTCTCTTTCTCTCTCAAAAATAAATGTATAAAAAATTTTTTTAATGAAAAAAAAAAAGATTCTCTCTCCTTCTGCCCCTCTCCCCAGCTTGCTGTCTTTTTTTCTAAAAAAAAAAAATACACAATAAGGTGCAATAATAGACAATAACTCTAATAATGCTAAACCTAAACAACTTGAATTTGTAAGTGTTTTGGCAGTCTTCCATCTTCGCCTACATTTCTACTCTCCAACTACCACCCACCCCACCCCACCACTTCAGCACTACTGATATTTTAAATCAGACAATTCTTTATTGAGGGAACTGTCCTGTGCTTTGGAGGATGTTTAGCAGCATCCCTGGCCTATACCCATTAGATACCAGGAAGCCCCCCCCAAACCCTCCCCCCAATTATGACAACCAAAAATATCTTCAGACTTTGTCATATTCCCTGGGGGACAAAGTCACCCTTGGTTGAAAAATAACTCTTTAGAGAGGAAAAGATTCCATTTATACCACCATGATGTGTAGATTTAACTATGTAATATCTCCAAGGGCATGTTTTTCTTTTTTTTTCTTTTTTTTTTTTTAAGTTTATTTATTTTGAGAGAGAGTGTGTGAGCAGGGGAGGGGCAGAGAGAGAGGGAGAGAGTGAATCCCAAGCAGTCTCCATACTGTCCAGAGCCTGATGCAGGGCTACATCCCACAAACCATGAGATCGTGACCTGAGCTGAAATCTAGAGTCAGATGCTTGACTGAGCCACCCAGGCACCCTCAAGGGCATGTTTTTCTAAATGTTTGTTTTGTTCAGATTTGGGACACTTTATGGTTCTTATAATTAATAAAACTTTTCATGGTTGGATAGCATTAATTTTATAAATGATTTATAATAAAATAAGGAAATCAGTCAACTAACAGTTTTTGATTTTTTCAGTATACAGCTAAACTTGTTACAATGCTGTGCTGAGTTGATGGTATTACTGCAGTTGAAATTTTCTTAATAAAATATTTAATGATAGTCAACACTTAGTGAACATCTACTGTGTGCCAAACATTTTGCCAAGGACTTGCTAGGCAGTAGTGGAGCTTATTATGATCTAGTAGGGAAACTAATTGGTTAACTAGACAAATACAAATTATCCCATTTCAGCTTCACAATATCTCTTTGAATCAGTTGTTGTTGGCTACAGATGAGAAAGCTGAGACAGAATTAGGTACCTGCCCAAGATCACATAGCTAGTAAGTATTGGATTCCAGATTTGAACTAAAGTGTGTTAAAACCAGAGTTCATTCTGTTCATCAATTTATCCTGCTTTTGGTCTTTTTAGTTGTACTTTCTTATATCCACTCTTGGCCTTTTCCTCTCCTATCTCCCTGTTCATCAATACCCACCCCCTTCCCACCTTATGCCCTGTAATATTGAGCACCTACCATGGAGAATTCATTAGTTACACCATAACAGATAAATCCCCAACAGTATTTCCAAGGACATTGCTGTTTCTCTTTTTTTCAGGTCTTAATGCAGACATTATTTCTTCCAGAAACCTTCTTGTTAGTACCCATATACACTTGTGTAAAGAAGGGTTAGATGCCTTTCCTATGTGCCTTCGTAACATACTTTTATTTTACATAATATACTTTTATTTTATATAATATACTTTCATTATAGCATTTATTAAACTGTAGTGTGAATTCATTTTTGTTGGTACTACTGATGCAATTCCAACCTTTTGAGGAGTCATAGCTCCAAAACATTTCACAGAAAATTGATGCTACATAATAAGCATTACTACTTTCATTGCACCCCTACCCTGTGTGTGTGTGTGTGTGTGTGTGTGTGTGTGTGTGTGTGTGTGTGATGTATTCCAGCCCTCACAGACTAATTATACAGAGAAAATATGTATAAAAATAATTAACAATGCAAGGTAACAGGTATAAAATTTCTGAGTATTTGAACCTAAGATGGGAAGGAGTTTTACTTTTTTCGTACTTCTCCCTCTTTCTAAAATTGATTTTTTGAGAACTAAGATATTCGTACTTTATATAACACTTTGCAGATTTTGTGTAGGAATATCTAGTATACTATATATAACACGGTTTGCCTCAAACATTATGTTTTTTGTTACTATATTTAGAGGTTTTTTTCAAGAAAATTTTTTAAACAAAATGATGACACATACTGGGTTTAAAAACAGCTCTTCAGAGGGAGAAAAGAAACTACTGCATTCAATGTAAACATGAAGACATGTACAGAAGTTTTCAGAAACACAAAGATGTGAAAAAATATATCTTAGAATAGAAGAAACACATTACTAATTACAATTTTGTTATCTTTAGTTTCTTTAGTTTCAAACAATGTTTGAAACTTGTTTCAAAGTGCTGAACTCCGGGGTGCCTGGCTGGCTTAGTCAGTAGAGCGCGTGACTCGAGCTCCACTTTAGGTGTAGATTTTACTTTATTATTATTTTTTAAGAAGTTTATGTATTTTGAGAGAAAAAGAGAGACAGAGGGGATGAGGGCAGGCAGAGAGAGAATCCTGAGCAGCCTCTGCACTGTCAGCACAGAGCCCAATGCAGGACTTGAACTCATAAACAGTAAACTATAGAGTTTACTATTAAAATAAAAACAATGCAGGGGGGCACCTGGGTGGCTCAGTCTGTTAAGTATCTGATCTGGATTTTGGCTCAGGTCCTGATTTCGTGGTCATGAGAATGAGCCCCATGTCAGAGTCTGTGATGAGAGCACAGAGCCTGTTTGGGATTCTCCCTCTCCCTCTTCCTCTCTCTCTCTCTCTCTCTCTCTCAAAATAAACATTAAAAAAAAAAGTGCTGAACTGTGAGGAATATGCTGTCTTTTTGTTTTTTTGGCAGTTTAAGAAAAGCAGATAAAAACTTTCAAAAAGATAAGACACCACTGCCATTGTTGTAGAACAAAAATATTACTATGTTTTCTGTACTTAGACATTCAAAACATCAAACAAGTAGAAAGTACTCAGTTTATTGGGTGGGGAAGAGGAAGATTGACCGTGGGTTCCAAAAACTCATGGAATGTACTTCTGCCAAGTAAAGTTTTAATCTTACTTTCTAAGCTGTTGGTATTGGCGACTTCCCCCCGCCCCCCAAAGCTTAATTTATGTCTTTAGAAACTTTAAAAACTGAAGGACTATTTGGATTATGAGTCTCTTGTCTTTTATGTATTCACTAGTTTATTGATTTGGTGTAATAAATTAGCCATCTATAGATCTTTTACATGTTACCAAAGAGAAATACACAGCTGTCAAAAAGTAAGGGGCAGGGGAGTGTCAGAGACTGTCTCATACAAAAACCAAGTAAATAACCAGGTTTTTGGGGGTGCCCGGGTGGCGTAGTCGGTTAAGCGTCCGACTTCAGCCAGGTCACGATCTCGCGGTCCGCGAGTTCGAGCCCCGCGTCGGGCTCTGGGCTGATGGCTCGGAGCCTGGAGCCTGTTTCCGATTCTGTGTCTCCCTCTCTCTCTGCCCCTCCC